TTGACTGTGTACTGGTCATTTTTTTTTTTTTTTGAATATTTGTAGAATATTTTGAGGTTTAAGCTAATGATATCTTCATCAGGAGAGGATTTTTGTTTCTGACCAGTGTTCATGGATTGCTACTCTATAACCAGTTTTTTCAACATTCAAGATTTGAGAGTTCCTGATTACCATAAAACCAGTCTGCAATTTGTGGAAATGCTGACTTACTTCTGGTTTCTCTTTACCCTATGGGGTTTTATATTAAATATGGGGTGTATTTATTAGATTTTCCACCTTCTATGGATACTAGAATTAGACTTCTTTTTTACTTGGCTTTGCAATCTTGTAAAAATCATAGCTCAGTTTATTGATTTTGCTTTTGCGCTGACAAATTCCATCAGGAAAAATGTTTGGCTTAACCCCCTGGAATATTGTCATCTAGATTTTGGCTGGCTAATTCCTTGTATTAGGTATTGTTTGTTTTTTAAATCCAGCTTTTTTGGTGTCCTCAGCTGGTAAGTTGGCTCACATTACCATGTTGTATATTATATATGTTGATATAAAATCATCCTTGCATTCCTGGGGTAAAATTTGCTGTTTATTTCATTTCACTTTCTTCCTTCCTTCCTTCCTTTCTGTCTCTTTCTTCCTGCAGTTGGCCAGTACAGGCATCCAAACCCTTGACCTTGGTGTTATAACACCAAACTCTAACCAGTTGATATTTTATTTTTATTTTCGGTGGCTGTCCAGTACAGGGATTGAACCCTGGACCCTGGCATTATCAGCACCAAGTTCTAACCAATGGAGCTAACCAGACAGCCCCTGCTGTTTATCAGTGAGATAAGAAAACTAACATTTATCTGGTTTTGACATCAAGATTTTAATAGCATTTTGATATGTGGTGAAATTGGGATAAAACTATTTAAAACATTCTTTCAAAATCCTTGTGGGATATATAATCATGGCTGTTTCATAAATGTAAATTTTGTTTGTATCTTGTTTTTTTTCCCTTGAAAATTCTTGCCAGAGATTTACCTATTTTATAATTTTTTTCAAATGCAATATTTTGTCAGTCTTCTTTATTGTATTGATTTTTCATTTCATTATCTTCTACTGTTATCTTTATTTCTTTCATTCTACCTTTATATTTTTGTTACCCTGTTTTGTTTTTTCTAACTTTATTCATTAGATACACATTTCCCTGTAAAAACAGATTGAACTTCATCCTACTAGTTTATGTTGTTGAACCTATGTCATAAAGCTAACGTGAGGAAGGTTCTGGAATCTAGGTCATTTGACTCATAATCTAAATTTTAATAGCAGTGAGAGGTTAAATTATCAGAATGAAAGAGATTTGCAAGTGAATGCAGTAGATATATGCAAAAAAGGCATATAAAGATGATGACAAAACAGAAAGAAGATGTAAGAACAATCTTCTATCACGGAAGTCAAGAACAAACATTTCAAAGAAGGGCTGATATTCAATATTATCAAATAATTTCACGGTTAAAAATGCAGAGTAAAAAATATGTGACTATTAAAAAGTTATTAACAGTACACACTGCTGGTGAGTTTGAAAAGATGAATAAGTATTTGGCAGTTTCATAAAAAGTTAAACATACATCTTCCCTTTGTCCCAGCAATTCCATCAGATATTTGAGAGAAATAAAATCATATGCATACAAAATGCCTTGTTCAACAATGTTTATAGGAACTTTATTTGTAATATTCAAAACCTGGAAACATTTAGATGTCCATCAACAGAAAAATGGGTAAATAAATTGGTGTCTAGTCATACAATGGAATACTATTCAGCAATAAAAAGAAATGAATTGATATGTGTAACACATCAATCTCAAATGTGGTATGATGAATGAAAAAGCCAAACAGAAGAGTACATACTGTATGAGTCCACTTACATGAAATGTTAAAATAAGAAAAACTAACGTGTAGTATTACAAATAAGATCAAAGTTTGTTTCTGGTGAGAGGATTGACTGGGAAGGGGCAGCAGGGATCTTCCTGGGGGTGATGGAAATGTTCTGTATCTTAATAAGCATTTTTTCTAAAGATTAAGAGTTTACTTAAGCTATGAGGATTTTACTATGTGTAAATTATACTTTAATAAAAATTATTGTTCAAAATATTATTGAATGTAGTTGGAATGTATACAAGATACCCAATGTACTATGATTTCAATTTTTGTTTAAACTTACCAGAATAAAACGTTGGGGAATAAAACTTTACAAATTCATTGTTCAGTTTCTTTGATACTAGTTTCAATAAAGGTTAAGACCAAACACTATCTCCAAAGTGTAAGAGTGTATTATAAGAAATAGATGTATACTTGGCAAAAGAAGAAAAGTGGCTTGAAAAGCCATCTGGGAAGCTAGAGCATGGTTACAGGGAGAGAGGAAGTAATCAGTGGAAAGGAAAAAAAATGATGTTAAAATCACTAAGTTGTGACAGGTTCAGAGATAACAAGGGAAAGATTTAAGAAGACAGGCGCTTGGAATTAAACTCAATATTTCATGCATGGTCCAACTAGGCTGAATACTCTTTTTAAAAGTTATTAGGATATATCACATGGCCCTTAATAATGCTTCTTAAATTTTTTTTGGTCTGTTTATCAGCTGTTTAGATACAAAAATTGTATAATCTTTCACTTTGTAAGTTTACAAAGTATACTCACATACCTTATCTCATTTAATCCTCCAACAAACTGAGATGAGGTACAATCATTTCTGCTTTACAGATTAGAAAAATTAGGTTGAAACTTTGCTAAAGTTATACAGCTAGTAAATGGAAAAGCCACTCCTGAGACTTTTGACTTTACATAGTATAATCTTAGGATGCTTTACTCTCGGTACTTATGAGTGTTCTAACGTGAGCCATTTTAAGGTGGTGGCCTAGCCAGGTAATTGCCTGGAGGCTCAATTCACAATGACTGTTAAAACATTTTATTATTGTAAATTTAATGAGGAGAAAAAATGGTATTTAGTGGAATTCCTAGAGTTCTGTGTCCAGAAGTGGTACTTTGATATCATGGGTGGCAAGACTACTGCAACTCCATCCTTCCCCACTCTCCTCCAAGAGTATATTATTCCCTATTATGAGGAAGTTGGATCCAAGTGAGTGAAGGGATTTCTTTTTGATGAGTAGATTATACAAATCTGGACCAGAGCTGAATTGCTCACAATAGTGGAGAGGCGTCCTTTTCACCCTTTACCACTCAGCCTTTCCTTTAAACAAATATTGAATGACTATTATAGTTTGGAAAAGATGCCAAATTAATAATCTGCTCTGGGGAGACAAACTAGCACCCTATTTCAGAATTCTTTTAGTTGCAACTAATAGAAAATCTAACTATCTAAAGCAGTCTAAACTTTATGAGTATAAAGGTAGGGTGAGTGTCGAAATCAATTCTGATTTTTTTTATGTGATTTTTGCTCATGAGAAGGGTTGGTCCTCAGGATGGCTCCTCACTGTAGCAAAATGGCTAGTGTTCCACATGCCAGAAAGTCTCTTCTCTAATACTGAATCAATGTCCCAGACTTCCCTCTGACTGGTCTGCCTTAGGGCATGGGCCCATATTTGATTTAACTGACAAGGTCTGGAAACACCCAGTAGTAACTGGATTTACATATCCCGCTCTGATCTAATCACTGTGACCAGGAGGATATAACAGGTCTTATTGGCTTAGGCCATTCTGGGGTAGCACCTAACACTCCTTGCATTCAAACCCATTCGCTGCAACACTTTAAGGGAAGGGCGAAATGTTTGCTAGAAAGCAACTACAATGAACATTACAAACAAGTCTCAGCCGGGTCTTGCTTCTCTTTCAGTTTTGTGTTTATGTTGTTCCCTCGTGGGTATAAGCTCCTTGGCAATACAGCTGTATAGTATTTCAGTCACCTTTTTGTTACCCCAATGCTCCTAGCCCAGTGGCATTCACCTGATGTTGGTTAAACAATGTCAAATTCTACTAAGTATAAAGGGAGCCCTAAGGAGAATAAACTAAGAGCAAGAACGAGCCAAGCTTAGTCTAGACACTATTCATTCCTTTATTCATTAAACAACTATTTGTCAGGCATTTATCAGTCGGTATATTTTAGTGGGTTTAAATTTTTTTAAGATAAATTTTTAAACACTAATTATATATAATAATCATACAAATACCTACATAATTAACATGGTGACACGTTATGAAGGAAAAGTTCAAGGTCCTATGAAAAGTCATGAGAGGGGTTTGAATTAGAATGGGGGATGTGGGCGAGGGAAAATCTGAAGAAGTGATAGTTAAAGTGAGACCTGAAGGATGAACAGGGAGTTACAGGTGGGTGGGAAATTATTCTTGGGCCAAAGAGCAACATTTAGAGGTCTTAAAGCTTGGAGGGGGAGGGGTGGAAGGGAAATCTGAAGGAGGAACTGGAAGAACTGCAGTGTTGGGGAACGAAGGGCAGTGGGAAGAAATATTAGATAGGAGCCATATTAAACGGGGCCCTGTAAGTTACATTGTTTTAAAGTTTTCGCGGGAGGGTTCCACCCACCTCTTTAGGAAACCTGACACCCGACTCCTTCCAGCGATGTTTTGGAGCAGCTTGACTCAGCATCTTCTCTCATCCTTTATCAGCATGTCTGGGGAGCCATGAAGCTTCCTCCCACCTACTCTTCCTTGTATTTCATTCTTTCCTAGCTATTAGATTTCCCTGACTCCTCGACTTTTTTATCAGGGCTCTTCTGAGCGTTCTTATTTCACATCTCCCCCAGCCCCACCCACCAACTGTTTCAAAACCGTCCTTGACACTCAAGCGCCCTGCAAAGTCAGAAAGAATGAGCCAGGTTAATACATGGAGGGCATTAGCAATTCAAAGAGATCTCTCACCCATCCTGCACCATTAGATCAGAACAACGGCTTACCCAACACTTATATTTAGATTGTTCCGCCACAACTACTCTGCGGGATGGTTTTGTTTGCGGCTGCTTCTCCACCCGCAGCCGGTGCCTGCGTGTGGAGGGCACCGTAAGAATCTTCCCGAATGCTCCCGCCACGAGTCCCAGTCGCCTCCTCTTCTTCTCCGCCGCTTCGCGAGGCCAGGCCCTCCTCCAGGCCCGCGGGTAATGCCGCAGTCTTGACGGCGAGTCAGGGAGGGAGTCGGCAAGGGCCTCCGCGCGGGGAGGGAAGGCACGACGCGGGCTGATCGGGGCCAGGCAGCAGCACTGGACGGCGGAGGCGTGCGCGGCCCGGGCAGGCGCAGGAGCGAGCGGGCGCAAGGCGGCCG